CAGCGATCCAACATAATTTGACTAAAGTGTAGGCTCCAGAGTGGGGCTGAGGATGAGAAGTTTGGGGTTCAGGAGGGGGCTCCAGCTTTGGGGGTGCCAGGGCTGGAGCAAGAGGGGCTTACCTAAAGAAGCTCCCGGTCAGCGGTGCACCAGGGGGCTAAGGAAGCTTCCTGCCTATCCTTGCACCACAGACCATGCTACCCCCAGAAGCAGCCAGCAGCAAGTTCCCAATCAAAGGGAGTGTGGAGCTAGTGCTAAGGCAGGGACAGTGCATGGAGCCCTATATACTCCCCGCTCCACCTAGGAGCCAGGCCTACTGCCAGCCATTTCTGGGGCACAGCACAGTCTGTGGTGCCAGGACAGGCAGGGAGCTGCCTTAGCTGCTCACCTGCTCCCCCTGCAGCAACAAGACCCAAGTGCCCGACATTTCACCTCCAGTCCTGGGTCGTGACATATCGTTTGAAAACCACTGGCTCAGGCCACATCTTCTGTGGTGTGTCACGTGTGACCCAGCACACAAACCTAGCCAAGAGCTTCATCTTTTCAAAACAAATGGGTTGGACCCTCACCTGGTGTAAACTGGCATAAACTGACTCAAAGGGCTGGCTGAAAATTTGCCATCGGAGCTGTTTTTTAACAGAAAATTGATTTTTTGACTAAATATTTTCATTTAAAATGTCTATTTCTATTTATTTATTTATTTATTTATTTGGTTGTTGAAAAACAACTGACAAGTGACCAAACGCCAAAATATTTTGATTCGGAAATAGTGCCTCATGTGAATTATTATTCCAGTGACTCATGCTCCTCAGCCAGATTTAATCTGCTGTGATGTACCATGGCCATCAGGCACTGCCTCCTCTCACCAAGAGATGAATAATGCATCACGGGAGACGTGGTCTGACCCGGAAGCCCAGCTCATTGAGAAGAATGGAAGCATGAGGCACAAGAACTACAACTCCCATGATGCCCGACAGCAGCCTTTCAGGATCAATGTATTTCCCTTTTTGGCTGAAATACTTTGATTTCTGTTTTGTTTTGTTTTGAAAAACACTCTCAACATTTTCCATGGAAATTTGAACAAAAAATTGTTTACTCAACAGGGTGGGAATATTTTCTAGCTAAGTACACCAGCTGAGAATCTGTCTGTATCAGAGCCATCCCGAAAAGGGGAGGGGAGGCTGGGGCAATCCCCTCACCCCCAGCGCCCCACAGTGGTACCCAGGGCAACCCCCCCTGCTGCAGACCGTGCCCGTTCCCCAAGCCACATCCCCGCTCTGCCCCATTACACCTTCTCCCAAGCTGGGCGCGGCAGCAGCATGGGTCACCCCCCCATCGCCATGGTGACGGGGTCCGGAGCGGCCCAGCAGCCTGCTCCCCTCCTCCCTGCCGTGCCACCTTCCCAGCATGCTGAGCCCCGCTTCACTGCCCTGGGGCTGGGGGGCTCCCCCTCCCACTGCCACTGAGAAGTTGAGCCCAGTGGGCTGCTGGGCCACTCTAGATCCCGCCACAATGTTGGGGGGGGAGGGGGCACCCTTGCTGTTCCCCATGCCAGGCTCCCGTAATCCCCCAGGTCCCTCCCGTACATAGAACAGGTGGGGCGGCCATAGTGGCCTCAAAAGCACAGGGCCTGCAGTACCAGCCCCGAACCTTTCTATGTACGGGGTGGCTCTGGTCTAGAAGATATTATGCTCCTATGCAGAATATACCTCCCCACACACTTACACACACCAGTCGTAACTACTGAGGTGACTCTCCTCAGTCGAAGACGGCGTTCCAGGCTGCAGGTGGACTAGTCTTTCCATTTCAGAAAATAATAAGCACAAGACTAGACTAGAATTTGGGTTTCTGTCCTACCTTACCAACGGCAGGTGTCACAAAGCACTTCAGAGTCATGACATGTTCGCTGCTAACGTGTCTGCGTACAAGGCCAGAGCAGCGGTTTTGTGCTCCTGTGCAGACAGGCCTGCCGACGGGGAGGCGGGGAGGAAAGAGGGCAATTGCCCAGAGGCCCAGCAACTTAGAAGTGGAAAGGGGAGCCAGTCGCTGCTGCTGCAGCTCAACTGAAAAGCAAAAAGCGTCTCTTGATAGAAAGATGCTTTTGATATGCCCCAGGCAGGCTCTAGAGCTGGATTACCAGAAACCTGCATGAGGCATAACAAAAGCATCTTTCAGTCAAGAGACACTGCTCTGACATTCCCCAGTGCAGGCAGGCTGGGTCTAGGACAGTGGTTCTCAAAGTTTTTGGCCCAGGGCCCACCTGGCTCAATGCAAACCTTTCCACAGACTACCAGTTGCTAATGGAAACTCACCATAGTTACATCGGAACCATTTTGCTAGTGCTGCAGCTAGGGAGAACAACGCACAGACTGACATTATTCGCAAACGACAACAAGCGACACACAATCTTAGCCGCGCTGAACACCATGCCATCCAGAGTCTCAAAAACAACCTGGACATTGTAATCAAACCAGCTGACAAAGGGGGTGCTGTGGTCATTATGAATAAGGCCGACTATAACCAGGAGGCAACCAGACAACTCTCGAACACCACATTTTACAAACCTCTCCCCTCTGATCCCACCTTGGACTACCAAAAGAAACTACACTGTCTCCTTAAAAGCCTCCCCACAGCTACTCGGGAACAAATCCTCACAGAATCACCTTCTGACCCCCGACCAGGATTGTTCTATCTACTTCCCAAGATCCATAAACCTGGGCACCCCGGACGTCCCATCATCTCTGGTATTGGCACGCTCACTACGGGTCTATCCAGCTATGTAGACACTCTTCTCAAACCCTTCGTAACCAATACCCCCAGCTATCTCCGAGACACTACTGACTTCCTAAGGAAACTACAAAACATCGATAACCTCCCCAATAATACCATCCTTGCCACCATGGATGTAGAAGCTCTATATACCAACATCCCACATGAAGACGGATTACAAGCAATTAGAAACACTATCCCAGAGGACACTACTGCCAACCTGATAGCAGACCTATGTAACTTTGTTCTCACCCACAATTATTTCCGGTTTGAGAACAACTTATACCTCCAGATCAGCGGCACAGCCATGGGTACACGCATGGCCCCACAGTATGCTAACATCTTTATGGCTGACCTAGAACAACGTTTCCTCAACTCCCGTCCCCTTTCACCCCTCCTCTACCTACGGTACATCGATGACATCTTTATGATCTGGACACATGGCCAAGAAACACTGGAGATATTCCACAGAGATTTCAACAACCTACACCCCACCATCAACCTCAGCCTGGACCATTCTACACGAGAGATCCACTTCCTGGACACCACCGTACAAATCAACAATGGAAAATTAGACACCACTCTCTACAGAAAACCCACTGACTCATACAGTTACCTACATGCATCCAGCTCCCATCCAGAACACACCACACGATCCATCGTCTATAGCCAAGCCCTTCGATACAACCGCATCTGCTCTAACCCCACTGACAGAGACCAGAAGCTTCAGGATCTCTACCAAGCATTTATAAATCTCAACTACCCACCCAGAGAAACAAAAAAGCAAATTGAAAGAGCCAGACGAATACCTAGAAACCATCTACTTCAAGACAGACCCAAGAAAACCAACAATAGAACACCACTTGTCATCACCTACAACCCCCAACTTAAACCTGTCCAACACATTATCAATAAACTACAGCCTATATTGGAACAGGATACCATACTCAAAGAGGCTCTGGGAGACAGACCCATAGTCTCCTATAGACAACCACCTAACCTCAAGATGATTCTTACCAACCACCACAGGACATACCACACTAATACCAACCCTGGTACCTTCCCTTGCAACAAACCCCGTTGCCAGCTTTGTCCACATATTCATTCTGCTGATACCATTATTGGACCTAACCAAGTGAGTTATAAGATCAAGAACACATATTCCTGCGCATCCAGAAATATAATCTACGCTATCATGTGCCGAAAGTGTCCGTCTGCTATGTACATTGGACAAACATCTCAGACACTTCGCCAAAGGATTAATGCCCACAAAACAGATATCAGACAAGATCACAAAGAGAAAACAGTTTCTTGCCACTTTAACCAGAAAGGACACTCTCTAAATGACTTAGCCACCTGCATTCTGCTACAAAGACCTTTTACATCTGCACTTGAAAGGGAATCCTCCTTCTGTTCTGAAATGTGATTTGTCCTTTTCATATGTGTTCACTTTTTTTTTAATTGTATCCTTTGGTATATATGGTTGTGACTACTTTCTTCCACTATTTGATCTGAGGAAGTGGGTCTGGCCCACGAAAGCTCATCATCTAATAAACCATCTTGTTAGTCTTTAAAGTGCTACATTGTCCTGCATTTTGCTTCTTAGTTTACAGTCTCCATGTGAGGAAGAATCCGCCATATCCAGTGGGAAGTTGTTCCAGTGGGCAAGTTATTCGTCTGCATTTGTCTAGTTTCAATTACCTGTCACTGGATGTTATGATACAACACAAACAATAAAGTTACAAAATTATTTTCCTCCAGAGAGCTTTGCTCCCGTGGAGAAATATCTCTGCCCCTGTTAAGCAAGTGGAGAAACTGAGGCATGGAGACACAAAGACTGACATTTAACAAATAGTAATTCAGGTGCCCCACTTGGGACATCAAGTTGTCTCTGACTGGCCCGCCAAAAATGGAGGTAAACAAAACGATTAGTAGACATATTTTAGAAATTTTGGGCCTAAGTGATTTGTCCAAGGTGACCTGGGAAATTTGTGGCAGACCAGGAACTAGAACCGAGGGCTCATTATCCACTTGCGTGTATTAATCACAAGACCAGCACTAACTTAAGGGTATAACTGCCTTACACTCTCCAGAAGCGGTTCAAAAGAAGACACAGTCTTCTGTATTCTACCTGCACGAGGAAAAGCCACTCAAGAGGTTGGAAGCTCAACTTGATGGTGCATTTTCTCCAGTACCCCAAGGTGATGGCTGCACATACACAAAACACTCACCCAGCCCATTTGCACAGTCATAGAAATCAATGCAATGCGCTGTCCGATCCATTCCATAGGGTCCCATCAATGTCCTGGAAGAGAAACCAGATACAGTTTGAAGACGCTAAAATGAATAATACACACAGACAAATCTAGAAACCCTCATCTCACCCTACCCCATCCCACCCCATCAAGACAATCTCTTCCCACAAAACCATCCAAAAACAGAGTTTCAAAAAACACAAACTCTCCACTGCATGAGGTGCATGCAAATAATTGGGTTTGTTTAGTTTAGAAAAGAGAAGACTGAGAGGGGACATGATAGCAGTTTCCAAGTACCTAAACGGGTGTTACAAGGAGGAGGGAGAAAAATTATTTTCCTTAACTTCTCATGATAGGACCAGATGCAATGGGCTTAAATTTCAGCAAAGGAGATTTGGGTTGGACACTAGGAAAAAATTCCTAAATGTCAGAATGGGTAAGCACTGGAATAAATTACCCCAGGAAATTGTGGAATCTCCATCAGTGGAGGTATTTAAGAGCAGGCTATATAAATATCTACTAGATGGTGCTTGGTCCTGCCATGAGTGCAGGGGACTGGACCAGATAACCCCTCAAGGTCCCTTCCACTTCTAAGATTCTAGGATTCTACAATTCTATGCTAGCAGAGAGCAAAAATAAAACCTTACAAAATTACACAGACATAAACTAACATATACATACAGACGTGGATGGACAGACAGATGCACACACACATAATATGATTAGGGTTGCCATATGTCTGGTTTTGAACTGGACAGTCCAGAATTTGAGCTTTCTGTTCGGGAAACAAATTGAGAAAATATAAATGAGAAAATATAAATGTCCGGTATTTTCTAAATAAGATGGAATGTAGATTGTGATGTAATGTCAAGCGTGTCTGGTATTTTCGTTGAAACCATCCGCCAACCCTAAATATGATGGGCCAGTTTGTGTTCTCAATGACACCTGTATCCACGTGGAATAACACCAATCTAGCTAACGGGATGGTTCCAGATATACATCAGTGTAGAAATTAGACCCAAATTCGAACCAATGGTCCCATAAGTTTCCTGTCAACAGTTTGTTTAAATCAACTCATTCTGTAAAGAAGGGATTTGGTGAGAGGTGGATGAGATTTCAGCTTCAGGGTTTTAAAACACACACCTAATTAGCACAGACGAGCAGTGACCTAATCAGAGCTGACTAGAGGACAACACTTCTGTTTGGTGGTGACTTTTGATGTTTGTGTTCAAATGTTTTCGCGTTGGGGAAAACAATCGTACACTGTAGTGAGGTGGGTATAACATGGGCTTGGGAGACCCAAGCACAATTCCCAGAGCTAGAGCAGAGCTGTTCATCCCAGATCAGCCCAGATAGGCAAAACAAGGACCTAGTCTCTCACATCCCAGACCCACTGCAATCAAATCTCCATGCTTCCCCCTTTCCTCCCATCACAGTGAGGAAGTTCACTACCTCAATGTGCAGGAAGTCAAACTAGAGGATTCTGATGGTCTCTTCTGACTATAAAGTCCTGAGACTCTCTCTCATCCCACCTGCTTCCCAACAAGCACACCTAGAAATGAATGCATCTCAGCACAATGTTTTGGCTGAAATTTCATTCCAGCAAAAACATTCTGACCATCTCTAGTCAAAAGCCAGATGGTCTAGACCTCCGGAGTCTGAAACTCCCACCCGCAGACACAAGCTGATAAGTGAGACCCGATATTACGTAGAAACGTAAAACATATCAACAAGGTAATTTCAAAACACGTTGGAAGGGACAAGCGGCCTCGTATATTCCACAGAGCCTCTGACTTCCTCCCAGGCATAGAGGTAGAGATCCAGGCCTTCTGACTTTTCAGCATAGACATAAATAAGGTCACATGGACATGCCATCATCCAGGACCCTGACACGGACAATGCTCTACCAATAAATTGCACTACAAGAGATTGGGGTCCCCAAGCCCTACATAGCTCAAGGCTCTACCATGAAGGTTTTTGAGAGACATTTGGGGCAGGATGGACTTCAGTAGGAGCAGAGCCAGGCTGACAACTTCTGAAATGTCTGCCTTTAATTATTTATTTACAAATGACTTGGCGCTGCAGAGCGCTTTGGTATTAGATTCAACTTGCCCCAGAAATACAGGGTTTTAATTTGGATTACTCAAGCCCTGCTCCGAATTACTTAAAAATATGGTCCCTTCTCTCCTCCTGGCCTTTGGGCTACTTTCACTACAACATGGGCGTGTATGGACTTTAATCTAACCCAGCCAAAAGTGTCCACATATTCCAGATGACAACCCAATACCCAGGCCTCTCCAGTTCAGCCTTTTTCCAAACATTCTCCTGTTCCCAATGGTCACCGTGGAGGAAAAACGAGAGTTTCACAATTCATCATCAGAACTGACGTAGGCTGGTCTGAGCAAAAAGACAGAAGTGGATACAGTAAAGCCTGTTGACCGGATCTAATCCCAACCAGTTTTATGGGAAGAGTAACGCTGTGTTTTTCCAATTGAATCGATAGGGACAGCCAAGATTTAAATCCAAGTTCCTTCTTGCCGTTCAGAAGCACACCTCAGAACTACATCTCAGAGACCAAAAATAAGTCTTCAATCCAATTTTACATTCCAGTCAAAAACTCTTCATCCCTCCTACTTCAGTTGCACATTAATCAGACTTAATACATTACATTTTCAAAGCACTTGCTTAACATCAACTAGCATGTCAGAATAGCTCCATGGACTTCAATGGAGCTATACCAATTTAATTCAGCATAATATGGTCTTAATTAAGCATATTAAAGTTACTATGCGGAATTTTGCAGCCTCTTGGATAAGTGCCTGTTTGTCAGGAAAATGACTTTTAACCTGAAAGATAACGTCAGGGTAGGGGGTTTCATGAAATAGCTGATTACCCCAAAATGTTCCCTGAATCTGATCTCCCAAACGTTAGCAAAAAGCCAAACACGCAGAGCATTAACATGAGGGGGAACACATTTTTGGATCATACAAAATGCATAACAAAGGAGCAGAGAGGCCTGAATTCAGAGCAAAGAGCCCTGAGCACAAGAGGGTCTCACACTAGAGGTGCAGGACTTCTAAAAAGTTCTCTGTCCTTAATCCCTTCCTACGCACTGGCAGGATTGCAGGAAGGAAACGCATCCACAGGAGAGCGGGCGGTCAAACAGGAGAGCTCATTATTCACAACATCAGTGCATCTGATCTTGTCTGCCTGCATCCCCTGTCTCAGCCCTTTCTGAAGAGACACACAACCCCCCTCCCTTTCTGAATCACTTTTCCGTGGAAACCCAAGGAACACTCCTTTCCTCCAGCCCTGGGAAAATGACTCGTAACCCAAACTGAAAGGTAACATTGCCCAGTTGGTATGAGACTGGCATTACAAATCTAGAGCACAGACAGCAATTTTGGATTTGCCCCCAAAGAGGCTCCAACGCACCCCAGCCCAACCATGCAATTTCCTTCCTTTCTTCCAACCAGCCCCACGCGTCTCGTCAGTTTCACTGCTCGTGAGGATTACCTGCTAATAATGACGGCACCTTTGTAAAGGACGGAGATCGCTGGCATCTCGATCCTTGGGTTGTGAGAGTCCAGCCCAGCCAAGCCTCTAGCCACTCTGCTTTGGCAGGAATCCGATACAGCGACGGAACAGGGGGAGAGGTCACATGATCTTCTCGTATGCATGTTAATTCCCACCCAACATTATTAACACAGATCAACTAAAAACATCTCTACCTTTAGATTAAAGCTTATGCAATCCAAACAAAACCAGTGTGGCCTATCGCAAGTGCCTTGCTGAGCAAGCAATAAAGACAACCACACACACACATACACACACCTCCCCCTCCTCAAAGCAGTGCTGCTCATCCATAATTAGAGTAGTGCTGTAATTATTTCATGCTTTGTATTGTGTAGCGTTTGGAATATCCCCTAAATAACCAATGTATAAACACTGCCCTTCAGCACTGAAGCCAGGACATGTTGCTAATGTCCCTGAAGGCTTTAAATCTGCTGCAAAGCTTTGAAAGTAATAACATACTGCGCTGTTTACAGTTTTTCCCTCTTTAGTATCTTATGTGGGCTGTTGCTCTGCCCAGTTAATACCAAGTAAATCAACTTTGGCTGTGTTAATATCTGCTGAGCGTGTACAGGGATAATTTGCCCTTGAATAGTCTCTTTCATCCAAGGCTCTAAAAGCAATCTGCAGAGGTAGGGCAGCAGTGTGATCCCCAAGGTGCAGCTGGGGAAAGTGAGTCACAAAGATTATGGTGACTAACCCAATGTCATACAATATGTTCATGGCAGAGTCTGAAATAGCTGATGGGATGCCAAATCTTTTGTTTTAACTATTAGACCAGGGGTGGGAAAACTTTTTGGGTCACAGGCTGCTTACACACAGAAAAATAAGTTGGGGGTCACACAAAAGTGAGAAGCAAAAAAAAAAAACAATCCACATTCCCCTTGCCCACCAGAGTCTAGGGGGGCCTGAGTTAGTAGATGTTATGGGTCCCCCCATGCTCTGGAGTGGGGCCAAAAACGAGGAGTTCAGTGTGTGGGAGGGGGGCTGCCAATAAGCGGGTTTGGGGTGTGGGGTCTGGGCAGGAGGGAGGGTGCAGGAATGGGGTTGGGGGTTGATGGGTCTGGGAAGGAGGGTGGGTGCCAGAGTCGGGGGAGAGGGGTACAGGACTGGAGCGCCAGTTCCTCCATTTTGGGGAGGAGCCCCAAGCCTTCGAGGCCAGATCCAGGCAAGCCGGGCATTAGACCATGCTCCTTTTCACCCTCAGGGCCGAAATAAGAACATAAGAACGGCCATACTGGGTCAGACCAAAGGTCCATCCAGTCCAGTACCCTGTCTGCCGACAGTGGCCAATGCCAGATGCCCCAGAGGGAGTAAATCGAACAGGTAATGATCAAGCGATCTCTCTCTTGCCATCCATCTCCACCCTCTGACAGAGGCTGGGGACACCATTCCTTACTAATGGCTAATAGTCATTTATGGACTTAACCTACATGAATTTATCTAGTTCTCTTTTAAACCCTGTTATAGTCCTAGC